TTGGCCCCGGTGAGGCCGAGCGACCGGGGCCGCACGAACCAGGAATCCCGAGAGCAGATGAGAGGGAAGTGGCCCAAGTTGCAGGCGAATCACTTGGCCACTTGGAAAGGCACAGCAGCGATTGGACTGAACCAGTGTTAGAAAGCCCACATCTCTTTGGGTTGGTTCGATCAGCGCATAAGAGAGTTTGGGCTTTCCCCAAGCTTTCTCCAAGCAAATCAATGGTACTTTCATAGTCTTTTGGGTTTGGTTTGTTCATTTGGCAAACAGAGAGTTTGCCCACATCCACGAGCCCTGTTTCGATGGGAAAAGGGTTTCTGGTAGTGCAAAACAGCGTTTAGATGGGCAATGTTCCAAGATGTTCCAAGGGGCGTTTGATTGTAAGGGGGCATCCTAACTCCCAAATGGCAGCAAGTGGGCATCTTCCAAATGGCAGCTGAGTCCAATCATAGTGCAAAGGCACGCGATCTCTTTGGAAGGGCCCTGCATTTGTTTGATGTAGCTTGCACCGTTCGATGTTCTTTTGGTTATTATATAGATTCTGTTATTAGCATTGTTTTGGTGTGTGTGTGTTTGAGCTTATCACAAAACAGTAGAGGTGTGAATGAACGATAATGACCGGGTGAAAGAAGGAGCGGTTGTCTTCTTTAGTAACACACCCGTTACAATGTGATGTGATTACGTAGAATTCCTTCATGAGTCACTATGCTTATTGGCTTTGTTGAGTTTGTGTTCAACTCTCTCTCTTCATATATATACACATACATGTATATATAATTGTAATTATAACATATTAAAATATACATATATATTTATGTGCAAGGCTTTTTGTGCCTTCCTGTGCCAATTGGAACACGCAGAATAGAACAGATGTCATGTCTCAAAGTTCACCTTTTTGAACACTCTTGAAACATGAAGCGCCAATACGAGCAACATTAAGTTTCAAAGCATAGTCATTACGATCCGATATATTGAATTGGGGACACCACCACCCGACAATTCACGCCAAATCGGAGGATGGAAATGCAGTTGAAGCAAGTCGGATATGCCGTTTGGCTATATCAATTTTTGCTTTTTTCGGAATACGGTAATGTGGTGTTGTTCCTTCAATGTTCGAGTTCAAAAGCTGATTTGCCATCCATAGCGGGGAGTTTCCCAAATTTGGTTTGCCATTGAAGCCTACCCCAAACTGGAAAAATGCGGCCAGATACTTGAAAAAATAATGATTCAACACTACGATGCCTGCTCAACGGTTTCGTGGAAGGCCTACTTCACTTGGTTTCGTTTTTGTTCCGTCAGCCCAGGGCGTTGGTTCGCAGGCGGGGCTCGGTGACTGGGAGGCTTCCGTTTTCCCAACAGACTCCATTTCCAGCCTGGCATTGAACTCCTAAGGGTGTCCAGCTTGGAACAGACCTGGGGTCGCTCCCAGGTCATTTGCGCCGGCCCGGAGCGTTCCGGGAGCACCTGGCTGTGGCTGGGTGGCGGATATTTTGGGGGGCAAGCTGTCGAATGAGCGTGTTTTGCCTGTTTGTCACTCCCAGAATGCCCACCTGACAAGCCGTTCGGCGACTCCTTTGGGTTGAATCATGGGCGGATCGTTGTTTTCGGCAATAAATAGAGGACTGCAAAGGTGAGAACAATCATCCAATCATATCACTGGTTTTTTCACACGAACAAAGAGCATAAGAATCCACTACAGGATGGTCATGTCCCAAATACACACCAAACTAGGATCGTTGGAGTATGGACGGAGATAGGGATGGAGAGAGGAGATAGCCCGGCGAGACAAATCGCACCGAGGTACAATGCCGTGCGGCTCTTGCACTTGAAAGCGCAGGCCGCACAAAATCCAGCGAACTGGGGTGGGCGTCGGAAGGAAATCGTAAATAAGTGCCAACAAATTCCACTGCCAAGACCATTGTTAATGCCTTTGTACATACAAAGAGTTTTGGGATATATGATATGTTTAAATTGAGAGGCACCTTAAAATCCACCGCCACCATGAACAGAGACACTCTTCATCACTCTTCAATTTTTGTATTTGATGTTTGACATGCTACCTACCCAAGGCTTTATTGCTTTGATGATGTTTGATTCTTTGTTCCCCCCAGGTGCCCTGCGACTCCTATTGGATGACTCGCCTGAGCCACGCCAAGCTGGAAGAACGGCTGCGTGCCCAGCCCTTGGCCGCCGCGTTCTCAGTGTCGATCCGACCGGCGGGATCCACCAAAGGCATGAGGGTTGGACAAGACATGGGTTCGTTCGCGTCGGTCTTCAGAAAAGAAGCAATACCATGCCAATCAAAAGCGATCTATATATACACAGTTAGCTTGTGTATGGGTCAAAACCCAGAGCCCTGGTCCAGTATATATAGCGAACGACCTGCCAGGTATGTCAACCTGCCAGGTCTTCCGCAATTGAACCCACAGCCAGATGGACCAAATCTATCGGTGTGGGTTGTTTTGAAGCATCAAGGACCCTAAGGGTCTAGGGTTAAGGAAGGGCAGTCGGACCATCTCCAGGTTTTCAGCCCGAAATGTTTGTTTATGGTTTAAAAGCGCATCAATAGCCCCGGGTTGAGGTTGAGGGTGTCAATGAACCACCGCGACAGTGTGTCCTGGTATGCAGCGTGGCAAAGCTCACCTCGCCCAATCTGTCGGAAAGGTAAAGGTTAAGGAGTCGAACGAGGTGAAGAACCAGGTTAGTTCTTTTGGACGAGCTCCTGAGCTCCATGCAATTGGTTGATTATGGTTTATTCATGTGTGAGGATTCCTATAGGAATGACTCCGTAAGCCTCTAGTCTAGAGGAAACCCGTTGAAATCAGATTGGTCAGCATAGCATGGGTTGGAGACTCAAAAATGTTTCTATCTCCAATTTCTGGCAGACTCATCAGACTGAGGTGGTGCTGGTGAAGACTCACGAGCAGCTCGGATGGAGATGTGCAGCGGTTGCTGTGGAGATTTGACCTCGGGCAACAAGATTTAGTGCTGTTGGCTTTTGAATGACTTGGTTGATCCAATGCTTGTTTTTGTAGGTTTTTTTTCAGGGGGACACAAGGTGTCCCATGATTGCACTGGCGTTCACAACAATATATAAAGAATTATATAGATCTGTTGCTCACGCCCCCCCAATGATCTACCTTGTCCTGCGTTTCTTTATCCTGGAAGCAAACATCGCCCCCATGTCTCAGCTTGGGGAGGAAGAGGTGCAGGACGTCCCTGATCTTCTCCGAGGTGGTCGGCGGACTACGCGGAGTTGGTGCCGATGGCCAAGCACATCTTCCTCACGCACAGGGATTTGCGAGGTGAGAGTGAGGGGGGGACGTTTTAAGGTTGTGGATTGGGATGTGAAAATCTAGAATGTTTATGAATGTGTTAGAATGCGGAATGTGATGATATAGAAATATATAGAAGCTTTATGAATGCCTTGGATGTGTTAGAATGTGGAATGTGATGCAGTAATATAGAATGTTTATGAATGTGGAATGTGATACTTGAAATGTAGAATGTTTATGAAGTTAATGCATGGAATGCGAACATATCTGAACATATAGAATGGTGAATGTTTTGAATGCGTTAGATCTTCGGGTGCTTTGCGGTGATTGGAGCTTCCGCCACGCCACGGACTTAAAAAGGACAGTGCCCGAACGGACTGCGGGGGGAACGGACGTCAACGGCATCCCGGGATTAATATATACACTCATGAACCCTGAAGCCAAATGGGGACAGGATCATAGCAACGTAGTTTCAATCAGCTGCTTGCCTGCCCTGCAGAGGAAAACAACACACGTGCAGCCGGCCACCGAGTCGCAACAAGAGAACTAAAGTTACTCCCTTGTAGAGCCGCAAAAACTGAGCCGGGGCGAAATGCCCTAGTGACCCTAGTGACTGACAAGATAATTTCGGAAACTCTACGTTGTAAACTATGATGTCACACAAAAATCCACGAAGAAGCTCCGTTCGCATTCTATGAGTTCGTTCGCATGCAAGCTGACTTCCTCCCATTGGTCTTCTGCATGCTTCGGGGAACCCTCCGTCCGGAGGGCCTGAGGTACAAGCGAACACCGAAACCATGGACCCCCCCCACCTGGACCGGGCAATCCGAACGCCAGACATAGGAGCGACGTCTCAGACATACGACCGTACGGCCCCATTCTGATCCACCAAAGCTCGACCCCAAACGGCCAGGTGTGGTGGCCTCCTATCGGCGTGTCCAGTGGGAGTTGGCTATTCCAGACCCTCGGACGACTTCCCCCGTGGGGGGGGGGGGGCGACACGAAGCGATGGGAGGCGTCCCTGGCCGGCTTTGGATGGGAGGGATGATACAAACGGTCTTGTAACGAGGTGTTCACCAGGATGTGGTTGCCAAGGTCGGTCCAACGAGCAAGTCTGGTTTGAACGGGAGACACCCAGAGTGCAGAAGGTGCACCAGTAGGTTTGAGCCACTTACCTTGGACGCGCATATACCAGGGAACCATAGACAGCAGGGACGACGGACACTGACTCTCAGCTAAAGACAACCAGGACAAGGTCAACCTGGGCCGTTTTCATTCTAGGTGATGGTTTCGGATATGTTTATGTTCAACCTTTACTTGGGATGTTTGGATTATATAATAATATGTTTCAAAAGGGTTGAAAGCATCAACCAGCATTCCATTTCATTCCATGAGTTTGCTGCTCTTGGAAGACAGAGATCCTCGATCGGATGTCATCCATCATGGCAGCCGGTTTCACCTGCAGTCCCGCTGGGTCCCAAAGACCTGTTTGGTCTCTCGGGCTTGCGGATAGTACAAGCAAATATCAAACAAAACAGGCTTGCTTGGACTCAGACCCAACAGCACCCCTGTGGTCGGCCCAGTCAAGTCAACAAATGTTTTGCTTTGACAGTGCCATAGAGCATCATAGAGCTTTGATTGAAGACATTTGAAGACAATGTCCAAGACATGGCTGTGGACGCCTACTCCGGCTTGAGGACGCCTACGTTTCGGAGCACATGGAGTGAGAGACCTCAGTGACCTCATGCTCGGTTGACCTAACAAGACTCGAGTCAGGGGTATTCATGTGGTGACAGATGAGTCGTTACATCTGGTTGTTTGGCTACCCTCAGTGTCAGTTCTTGGCCCCCCCCGGGATCCAGTCGTACCTTGTGAGGTACGGTGATGTGTTCGACACTGGAGACTGTAGGTGCCAGGAGGGTCCAGTCATACCTTCTCTGAAGGTACTTGGATCGCTAGCGACTCTAGATAGGCTTGGTAAGCGCTTTCGTCCTCCAAGCGTTGCCGTTGACCAAAAGCTATGGCACCGGAAGTTTTGCAGGAGCTCTTCCAGTGGGACCTTCCAGTTGGTCTTTTTGAGATCTTCGGGAACGTATAAAAGTATACATATATATATATACATATCACTTAACTTGTTTCTGCGTGCTGCGTTCGGAGTGCAAAACATGTCAGTTTGCAACACCCATGAAGCAACCAGGTGGAGACGCAATTGTTCGCTGGATATCAGCTATGAGTCTCGGCAGTCAGCTGTCGTCGGTCTATGAGGCAGGAACCCCCCCAAATGAATCCAAATGATTGGTTGTCTCTAACAAAGGATCAGGGTGAATGATGTTTCTTTGAGTTTGGGTGAACTCAATCATACACAGGTACTGTGAGTTCTGATGTTGACATGCAACAGGTACTGTGAGTTCTTCTATGTAGGGGCACTGATAGAAATCATCTGGCGCGACGCATAGAAATCATCCGAGTCTCGGATTGGGTTTGTTGTTCGTCACAATCGATTCAACTGTGGAACAATGGTGGACAATCCATGGACGAACACCCTGGTCAGGCCCGGCGAATCGGTCTGCGCGATGCGCTGTCCTCCGCTCGGTGAGGAGGAGATCATGCGAAGTCCGCTGGTCCCTTTGAAACTCATCGCTGAGCAGTTGAAGTTGTCTTTCACACAGGAGAGGGCGCGTTTTTGAAGGAAGTGGCCGGTTTGTGAGGTTCGGTTGGTCAAAGACAAAAGACTCCATTGACCAGAAAGCGGTTTGAGAGTGCTTTCAAGGTCAGCAGACTTCATGCACATAATGCTATACATGCCTCTAGTCTTCGTAACCTGTGCAATTTGAATATCTACCGGACATATTATTTATTCAGTCAGTGTATTATGCGTGATATTAAAGTATATATGAGTATATATATATATGGATGCCAAAAATTCGGTGCTAAGGAGCTTATACAAAATGGCAACACGAGAGCCATTGTGATGATCGATGTTAAGAGCTTATGAAGCAGTGGCGCTAGGGTGGCTACTCTAAAACACCAGCGTGCGGCGCTAGGGTGGCGCGCCAGACTGCGCGCCAGGGTGACTCTTTTGAATCTGCTTTTGATTGCTGGAAGCCATTGTTTTTTGGACCACATGTTTAATCTGTGATGTGCAGTTTCATAGGGCTAGCAGGAGCAAGGACACAACTTCAACTGGTTGGCATGTCGCACTATTCCTATAGTGAGTTTGCTTTGTCCATTTTCACAACTTGTCTTTGCCAGGGCTAAACCAGGAAATGTTCGAGACTTTTCGCGCTAGGCTCGCGCTAGCATTTAGTGCAGTTCTAGTCATTTTAGGTGCAAAAGTATGCGCTAGTGTATTTTGCTGTGAAACGAGCAAAGCCATACCATAAAACAAGTGTTCACCGTTAGTGTGAGTTATATGGAAAACATGAAGCGGCATGCAAGGATTTCTGAATTCGCTCCGTTTTCGGGAACAAGACTTTCGTCAACCAAACATAAAATACATGGTGCATGAATCATTGTGTCTCATGTAGTTTCATACCCACAACTCAAATCGGCAGGGCCTAGGCGCGGCTCAACCCCACAGTGTCGATCTGGTTTGGTCTTTGTTTTCCCCCACAACTAGACCATCAGCGGTTCCTCGGTTCAGCCGAGACCAGAGACGGCGGTTCAATCCGGTGGCCCTTTGGTTCAGCCCTGGATATTGGTGGACAATAACTGACTGGTGCTTAGTAGGGAATATGGGAATGGATCCAATAGGATCTCTATTGGGGTGGTTCATTCCCTCATTCCCTACTAAGCACGAGTCTGATAAGCTCCTGTTAGTTCCAATGACTAAGATGTATCGGATTGAACCCCGATGGAACCTGCCTTGTGAAGGAGTGTTGCCCTCCTCTTTCGCAGGAGCAACTTCGGGAGGTTCAATCCGACTTGATCCAGTTGAAACGAAGTCATTGCGGGAATGCGGTGTGCCAGGCGCAAAAGTGGTTGGGATGCAGATGGTCAGTGTGTGACCTGGGGTGTTGTTTTCTTAAACAGATCAGTCACCACTGACAGGGTGGGTAAGCTAATGTAGACTAGCCATTGCCGCTACCCAAACCAAAGATGATGCATGCCGGTGTCGCCTCATTTTCGGCCCGTTTTCGGCGTGTTCGCCGCTTTGACGCGTAGGTCACAAAGCTTTGGCCTGACCACCGCTCGGCGGAGACGGAGCGACTCCAGGGCAAGGGCTGTGCGGCCAACAACGCAGAGCTGAACGAGTTGAAGGATGAAGCTTATGTCGCCCAGCTTCGCTTGGAGGGCTTGGTGTATTATGTGTATTGTAGGCTTTCGGCCTTACCGGATGTTGTTATGTTTGGTTGAATCATAATGTGTTAATAGACAGAAGCCACTTTTGTGTGCAGATTTTACTTTTTGAATCTTCAACATGTTCGACCACATCACCACATGAAGTTTACCTGCATGGCAACGATTTAAGCAAAGTCCCATGACATTTCCTGCTGGTCTCCAGTGATTGGAACTCCGCCACAGTGATTTGTGTAGGGTGATGGGGTTCCGGTTCATATCAAATATGGATCAACTGAATCAATGTGCCACGGTTTAATGTAAGGGGTGAGCCGGGGTGAACTGCTACTGATAGTCTCCCAAGGATAGAGGCGTTGAGTGGCCAACCCCTCACATGATCCCAGCCCTGGGCAGAAGCGAGGCACAAGTGCTGAACACTCGCTTCAAGGAATACCAGATGCTCTATGGTTACTTGAACGACTGAGCTGTTCGGTCGTCGGATCTGGCCAGAAAAGAGGTCGGCGCGAGGATTTGTTTCTCAATGTTGGCTACACTCTTCTACCGGGGCGTTGGTTTGAGGACACGGAGTACTCCATCCACAGCGGTTCTCCAGCCGTCCCTTCCCAAGTGCAGCGGTACGATGCGGTACGACTGGGGTGACTGGATCTGATCACCTTCGGCATGGTGGGTGGTGGGTGGTCGGAGCCTCGCAAATTCCTTCGTCGTAATGAAGTCCGATGGGAAGGCTGCAACCTTTGTGAAACAATCAATCATTCAGCAGGGAACGTGTTTACGGAAAACATGTATATTAAAGGGGCACCTTCAAAGGAAGCAACATGTTTTGCTTTCCAATCTTCTTCTGCGAAGCCCTCGAACACCTCGAAAAAAGTAACGAGAAACACCTTTTGGCCAAGGGAACCACTTACATGTGCCGGGCATGGAGGGGCCTGAACCCAACGCTGGGATCGCATGAGCATGGGTTCGTTGGTGACGGTATTCAGAAAAGAAGCCAATATGGGTTGCCAAAGAAAAGGGATCTACACAGTTAGCTTGTGATATGGGTCAAAACTTGAAACCCCGGTCCATCATGTGGCTTGACCTACTAAGGTATCCTGGTCAACGAAGGTATCCTGGTGCCATGACGCCCTTTGGTCATATATACGGATTGAGAATGGCACAATCTCAAAAGGAGGCTTATACATTGACCCCCATCTAAAGGACATCTTGAGGTTTGCGCCATCTATATACAGTAGTCTGAAACCAGTGTGTGCATGGTTGTTGGTTTCACCCCAAACATGTGTTTTATATTCTTCTGAAAGATGTATCATTGTACCGGTGATAAGTCTTGGTCAAACACTGTGGCTGTGGGTCCAACCGGGGGAAGCTGGGATTGGGAATGGACGATGTGCTGAGAGGTCAACCAGTCCTGAGATGTGGAAGAAAGTGTGCAAACAAGTCTCGCCCTGAGCCAGGCCTTGCATCCATTGGCCATGGAGGCATGAGATGGCATGGGACCTGCCTAAACGGGAAAGCTTCACGGACTACTTCCTGTCGCTCTCTTGGCAACAATGTGGAACACAAAGACTCAAATCTTCCAGTCATGAACCTCAGACTAGTAAACAAGGGCATCGCTACCAGGAGCAAGAACACTACTAGGGGCTCCTGGCATCGCGACGAACGGAGCCAGAACGGCATCCATGGGAATCCATTTTCTCATGATCGGCTCCCGTCGCTGCCGCCACTTCGCCGCGTGCTCGTTGGGCCTTCCGCCGCTTCGGCGAAGGCGTTGGAGCAGCTTCAGACAGAAAGCGTTTTGGCCAAGGCGCTCGGGTGCAGCGGTCGTGTGTCGAGTCGACCCCGCGGCTTCTGTGTCGTTCAGTCCCGAGTCCACTGGGCCAGCGGAGAAAAATGTCTAACGCTTGTTCTGGTCATGTTTCGATTGCTGGACATACCATATGACATACCTAGCAAGAAACATCAAGAAACCCTTCAAGAGAGGCAAATCCTGTGCTCTAAGCCAGGCAGAGACTTTGTTTCTGTTTGCCTTCTTCACGTCGGTTTGAGCCGGGGAACCGCAACACGCCAAAGTCAACGTTACCACCTTGTCACCGGTGGAGCCGACGCCCCTGGGGCGCCCGGCCACGGGGTCCGGACCGAACAAGCAAGTTACAAATGTTCATAGACCCTAGGGATCCAGTCGTACCTTCTCAGAAGGTTATTGGATTTATGGCTTGGAGGGCCCAAGATGGCCCAAGTACCTGCTGAGAAGGTATGTGGATCCCTACAAAAAAGAGTACAGAGCAATTGCTTGCTTTATTGTGAAAGTAAACTGACCTCTCGTGGTCTAGCCCAAAGAACGAGACCCTGGCAGGCTGAAAGTTGTATTCGACATGCGGTGACGACGTCCACTGTAATTCTATCCCAATTTCTACCAGCCGAAAAGCACGCCACGGCATTTCAGGAAATACCGATGGCCACTCAGAACAAAAGTTCCGTGCAAAATTCTTACAGTGGGTTCAGAGTAGATGGCACAATCCCCAAAAAGTGGTTTATATGGACCCCCATCTAAATGACATGTAGGGGTTTGTGCCATCTACTCTGAAACCACTGTAATTAAAAGGGCAAGGTAGATAGTAGATGATAGCGGGCGGACCCTTGGCAAAGGGTGAGGTTCACTGCCGTGGCCGGGCCATCGTTCGTCAGGCTACCCCCACAGACAGCTCTTCGACGAAGTGACATTCGCGAGTTGGCGAAGGAAAGAAGCCTGCCCGCCGCCAGTGACTTCGCAACAAGCCTTTCTTTGAGCGAAGCTGCCCTTGCCATCCGACTAGCTTTGGACATGATGTTCGAAGGCTCGGAACACACCAATTAGTTCGAAGCTCGACAGTCCAAGTGCCCACCCACCAGCCACTTGCTGTCCCAATTTCTGGGTGCACTTGTAGGCTTTCTTGAGCAAAGGTTTTGCCGGGCTAATCTGATTTGGTCCACTCTTAAGGCATATGTAGCAGGCATGTGGAAGGAGCCATTATTGTGGCTGTGGCTCGAAGTATGAAGCTGGTAAATCTTCGACCTATAGTGGAAACGCATCGAAGCGATCTGCCTCGAATCCGTGCTCCCCGTTTTTCCCTCAAAAAGCTCCTGAATATTGAACATGTGACATGTCGTGATTGAATGTGATTTGAGCTTCACCCATGTTCACCCTACAGTTCCAAAGAACAGTGTGTCATGCCAACCCATCGAACACACCTTCCACCTTAAGCCCTTTTCACCCGTCCCCTGCACCGGCTGCTCGGGCCATGGAGCCCACGGAGCCGCCGGACGCCGCGGAGCCGCCGCCGGAGCCGGCGGAGCCCGACGAGCACACAGACCCCGAGAGTCGCTCGGACTCGGAGCAGCGCGGAAGCCGCGCTGAATGCCGCAGTCCCTCGCGGCGGCCGGCGGTGAAGCGGCGGCCGGGTCCGCCGAAGCGGGTGAAGGTAGAGACCAAGCAGGAGAAAAGTGGAGACTAAGGTGAAAGGATGCGCCTTTCGGGGTGATCATGGATGATTTATTTGGGGTTGAACTTTCATGACTTTCATGAACTTTCTTTGTGGTTGATTCGGTTGATTCTTTTGTGGGCCGCTCCTGGTTCTGAAGTGTGGATCGCTTATGGGGCGGTGGAGTCAGTGGAGTCAAAGGTCTTCAAACATCAAGCTTATAACTTATAACCATGCATGGCATGCAATCAAAGGTTCCAACAATAGATGGGTGCTTCGTGGGTGGGGGGCGGATCCCAAGACGAGATGACTTTGTTTGGCCCTGGCACCTCGTGGATGTTGAAAGTCGACTTCATCTCTGCGCAGGATCATGTAGTATCCACAATTCTGCAGCCTTCTGAAAGCAGTTCTTGGCCCTGTCTTGGCCGCGTGTGCAGAGAATGCGAAACAAGAGAACCCGCCGGCCGCTCGCCCGCTGCCCCCAAAAGGAGACGACCTCACCCACGGCGTCCGCTTCCGTGAAATGCGAGATCTTGGAGGTCTCGGATGTCGAGGCCAATTCCTCGTAGAGACCGGTGGGTGGGCGGAACCAGGTGGGTTTTGAGCCGAGCCGAGCAGGGGGTGGGACGAGCCGAGCCGAGTGGTTTGTGAGCTGGGGGCGCCAAGTGTAACGATTGCTCGATTTCAACTATATATACGGATATACGTATATATGTAGCCAAATCCTGCTAAATGTGTCAGTGACTATTTGGACATATTTGCATCATATAGGTTGCCATTGCCATCTTACAAAGGTCTATGCCTGGAAGTGGGAGAATCTGCAGCAGGAATCAACCCAGGTGACCGCCAGGAGTTTCAACCGGACTTCCAGCTTTGACCGGTCGCAGGGTTTTGCGACGCAAACCGTTTAAGAAACCAAAAACAGATCGTTGGCGGCATATGGTGGCATATCCAGCATCCAATCAGGTGATGAAATCGGATTATCTGACTTGTGCTTAGTAGGGAATGCGGGAATGGATCCAAAGGAATCTCCATTGGGGGCGCATTCCCTTATTCCCTATTGTACTAAGCACAAGCACTTAAGCCCAGCATCCATGCCAGGCGCAGCCAGCGCCGAAGGCTGCCCGCCCGAAGACCTTGCCCAAGCGAAAGCAGGAACCGGCCAAAGCGCCTAGCGCTGGAGGCGGCCGAATGCTCATTTCGGCTATCGCTGCGTCCATGAAGCCCAAGCCGAAGAAGCTGTTGACCGTGAAGAAGGAGAAGAAGAGCACTGCCCCGACTCCAGCCTCGCTAAAGCGTATGAAAGAGAATGCGCTGGCTCAGACCAGAGCACAGGAGGCGACCGAAGGGGTTGGGTGCTTTGGTTTCCCTGATGTGTGTGTTTTCCTTTTTTTTCCCAAATGTGTGTGTGTGTCTGCTACTTGCACCCGTGTTCCTTGCCTTTGCTTGGTGTTTTGCTTTTCCGGCAGGTCTTGGACAAGTGTGAGGATGATATATAAATATGTTATATATAGTTATATATATATATTGACTGACACCCACACACAAGTAGGGGATGGATTCCCACTGCTCTTTCATGTTTATTGATCGGTTTGTTTTGGGTTTACTGTATATTAATATATATATATATGTGGTTTATGTGTTTGGGTTGGCTTGTTATTTGCTTATTTGTTGCTTATGGCAAGGTTGTTTCGTTTGGTTGTGGCAGTCTTGAGCCACACAGTATATTTTTGGGCACTGCCCTCAGTGACACACTAAGTATGCGCCAGGGCGAAAGGCACATATATCGCACGAAGCATTCACAGCTATTGCGCTGTTGCACAAGCATTCCCCACGTCACGTGCCTGCAAGTCATACCTTGATGTTCAAGTCATACGGCCATACGGGAAGACAGACCTGGGTCCAGCTCGCAGAAACACCCGTTCAGCCGTTCAGCGATGAAACACGTGGTGTGCAAAAAGAACACATGGCAGCCTCATCCGTGAACCGTCACTGCTGGAAAGACAGAGTTGAAGCCTTTTGGGAGGCGAAGCTTCAGTGGCGACGTGCAGCAGCGGCTGCGGCTACGCAGAAGAAAAGGACCTGGGAGGGGCTGTCGAAAGCACCGAAG